CATCTCGTATAATAACATTCCCAGCTACCTATTTCATTATGTCTCTAAAATACAAGGAATAGGATTCAGAGTCTCGGAATCCGTACCGAGTAAATCAAGAGATATAAATCCATAAATAGGAGTTTGTTAAGAACTCAGGATTAAGATCATCCTATATATGACCATTGGTAGACTCAATTAGAATTTCTATGCTTAACGGAAATTATTAGAAATTCATATTGTGTATGTGTTCTTGTTCCACATAATCTTATTATGCGAAATACACTCATTCAATATCTCACCATATTAACAGTGCGGATAACACCGTTCCATTCTAAATGGGAATGACATGTATTAATAATGTTTTAATTAAAGATTTTGAACTTTAATTAAATTCATCATGAACAATGTTTTTTATTATTATCCTTAAACACTATCCTCTCGTATATAACACTTATATACTATGTTTAAGGTTACATAAACAATCACGGAATTTTCATTTTGATATTCATAAAATATTCATAAATATATGCACATAAAATGATGAATAAACTCTTTTATTAATTAAATAATAAATATCATATTATATCTCATGCTTCTAGGACACTATTCTCAATAAAAACCACCGGCCTTCAAGTTGTTTTTGACGTTTATACACGTCTTTTGAGGCACGAAAATGAAAACGGTCTGCAAACCATGTTTGTTTAGTAAATGTTTTGAAAACAAAAACGGAAACAAAAAACAATGAGAATGATTTTTGTGAAGGAATTAGAAAACGGTTAAAAGTTATTTTTCTTTTTTTGTTTTCATTTTATAGTACTCATCAACAATGTTATAATATATTAATTAATAATTATAACCAAACACAATTTCACTTTTTTATTATACTCAAAACAATCTCTTATAAAACCAGTCAAACACAATTTCAAAATCAGTACCAGAATGATCCTCAAAACAATCTCATTTTTACTTTTGTATTGAAAATAAATTATTTTAAAAACGTTATCAAACGGGCCCCTAATTAAATAAGCAACGACATACGACGCCTCCAATCTCAGATTGTCTACAAAAATGAAGCTTTCGCGCAAGAAACAGAGGAAATAACAAAAATCTCAAAGTCATCTTAAAACAAAAAATAATTATTTCATGCAAAATCATCAGAGACACAAAAAGAAACCTAAATTAAGCTCCATTCATGAATCGTTACAATCAGAATTACTAAAAAATATATAAATTTTGACTCACTTGCGACTTACAATTCAAAACCTTTAAATCTTTACCTGCGGAGGCACGAGTTTTTTCAAATACTACTTGGAGGCATAGGAACTAGCATATATCCCGAGTATAGAAAAGAAAACAAATAAACAAATAAATAAGCAGAACACCACCGTGAATGAGGAGCAAATATTTGTAGAGAAAGATAATAAAAAAAGAGAAAAGTATTGAATAAAAACACTTTTTTCTCTCTCTCTCTCTAATTTTGCTGGCAAATTATAACCTAAAAAAACCCAAAAAAACCAACCAAAAAAAAGCTCAACAATAACTGCAAAAAATATACAAAGTTTATGTACTTGATTATCATGAAAAACCTCCAAAAAGTCCAAATTTCAATGGCGGATGTGATTAAAGAACCGAAACCCAAACCACTCTTAGGGTTTTCTGCTCCCACAAACCCAAACTCTAAATGAAAGCTCATTAAAAATAGCTTTTTTGCTAAAACTTTTCTACAATTCTCCTTGTTAAAAGCTATGGCAACAAGATTATTGTTAGTTTCATTATTGGTTTGGAAACTCAAAATTTTTTGCCTTTTATCTTAGATCCTATATGAGTATTTCTTACATTACTTTTTTATGTAAACCTTCATACTACTGGTGCTATGTCTCCTACTATCACACACATATGTTGCCCTACAATAGATACACTTACACCTAGGCTCATCTGGATTCCCACCCTCTATGATTTTGAAATGATCCCAAACATGAGACTTCTTTTGTGACTTCTTCCTTTTTTTTTTATCTCCCTCCTCCTTTTCGTTGTCAGTGACCAAAATAAGCACATGGGTAGGGGTAGGTGTGCGGGTAGGGTCAACACTGGGGTCTTTAGGAACATGGGTCATATTTTTTGTCTGACCACTTTCTGTTTCAACAGTGAACTTACAAGTACTTTTAGAAGTTTGTGTAGTTACAAAAGAGTGGATGATAAATTTTTCCATCTAGCACAAAAATTATAAAAAAAATACATAATACATATGATTGAGACAAAGCGTAAAGCCATTTTTTCAAAAAAAAAAATCAATACGAGAAACCAGACAACATAATATTACATGCAATGATATTTCTCAGTTCTCATGAAAGCATAATATTTCTCAATTCCCGTGAAAGTATAATATTTCTCAGTTCTCATGAAAGTAATATTTCTCAGTTCTCATTTCTTACAAAACAAACAGAAAATAGAGAAACGAGAAACCAACAAAAAGTAAAAAAATGATTTCATCAACTACAGAAACCAGAAAAAATGAGCCTCTGAAGTCTCGACTACAAATACGAAAAAAAAACTAACCTTTCTTCCTGAAAATGACACTCTCCCTTTCTGTTAATTGATTAAAAGGAAAGCAAATCCAAAGAACAGACCCGAAATCCTAGACGATAAATTGATTAGATTCGTTAAGACGACTAGATATAAACCCTAAACCCAAAATCAAAACGAAAAAACGAGGAAAAAATGAGCCTCTGAAGTCTAAACTACAAATATGAAAAAAAAAACTAACCTTTCACTCTTCTTTCTCGATCTTCCTGAAAATGCCTCTCTTCCTTAAAATCCTAAACCCAAAATCAAAACGAAGAAGGACATATGAGTCCAATTTGATTGAATCAAGATTGAAAATAAGAACAATAGGCCTACATGTCGAGAGAGGAATTAGGGATTTCTTATTGAGAGGCATAAGAAATCAAGTTTGTGAAAATAAGAGATTGAGAGGCATACACAGAAGAATTAGGGATTTCTTATTCGGGACCTATCTCATTCGGCCGGGTCGGGACTTTCTCGGGTTCATTGAATCCGCCCCGTCACTCTACCCGCACCTTGTGGGTTGGGCATATATACAACTAAAAAAAAAATCTCCACTATTTTCAGATAGGGTTAAGTCTGTTCGGGCGGGTTTGTCACGTTCGGCCTCATTTCTTACACCCCTGGGTGGTGGGAGAATCACATGGCATAAAAAGACCCGTAAACCCCCGCCCAGAAAAGGAGAGGAAACAAATAAGGGAAGAGCAAAGCGGACAATTCACGCCAAAGGGCCAAAACCGGTATCTCACTGTACAATGTACAAAGAATTGTCAGTGGATGAAAAGTACCCAGCAGCTCTACTAAAGTAATAATATGGACTATGGGGGTAGAAAAGAAGGGATTACAACAGAATTAACGGACATGAATTAATGGGTCATCTCCTACCTCCACTAGTCACTGATAATGTCTCTGTTTATCAACAAAGACCAAAACCATTTCTCCAAATTACAGACCCAAAAAAAACAATGATCCTTCCCACAATACTTTCTTTGGCTCTCACTGCAACCTTAAGCTCGCCTTTGCCTTCTCTGGCAATCCCTTCTCTCAACTCTCCTCCCTCTTTGCCCTCTCTCACTACCCCATTTGCCCAATCCAAGAATCTGCTCACCGGACTCGAAAATGGGTAATGTCAAAATTAATTTGGATTTTTCTTGATATTAAGTACTCAATTTTCCTACTTCCCAAATGGGTCTTGCTTCTTTTGCTCGGTCTTAGCTTTAGGTGCTCAGTTTCATCATGGTTTATCATAAAAAACGACAAGTAATGGGTTTTTTTTTTTTTTTTTGGGGGCAGGAAAATCAGACCTTGCCCATCAACAAATCCGGGTTGTATATCGACAAATCCGAAGTCATCCTCATTTGCATTCCCGTGGAGCATTCCTGAGAATTATTCAGACAATGCCATTCAGGTTTCTTCAATTTAGAAAAAAAAAAAAAAAAAAGCCCACTTCATAAAGCTATACACTTTGAGCTACAGTTTTTGTTTTTGTAATCATTTTCGAATTGCTTTTTTTTTTTTTTAAATTTATGTAACTTGCTTGTGTTTTGGTAAGTCAGAAATTGCAAGAAGCAATCTTGAAAACTCAGAGGAATGCAAAAATTCAAGTTGTGGAAGATACCCCTTATGGTTAGTAAGTAGAGGACTTTATTCATTAAATTATTGAGTAGCGGCACCATTATATTTTTTTCTTATTAAATGTGATGAGAATTATTTTAAATTTTAGAGAGAGAAATCAAAATTTTAAAATTATTAAAATTTAAGTGAGAGCACAACTCTACCACTGATTACTAGCACGCTCACCACTCGATCACGTCACAAACACACACAAATACATGCAAAACATAGAAATGATGCTGAGAAACAAAGATCAAAACAATCAAGAACATGATAACTTGAGAAGCTTAAAATCCTAAACATACATTAATGTCCCTGCAGGCCAATATTTGCAAGCTGAGGTAGATGGTGGGTTCAACAGAGATGTTCTTGAGTTTTTGGTGAAAGGAGATGTGGTTGCTTACAGGGCTGTGGCCAAAAAAGTCACCTATATATACCCATTCACCACTTCTTTAGGGGATTCAAAGGGACAAGAGGAACGACTCAAGAGAATCATGGACCAGTTGGGTTGGTATGCTCCAAGTTTTGACTCCATGGATTAGCATATTCTAATCACAATACATACATACATATATATATATGTTTGTGTACCTAATTCCATGGATTAGCATATTCTAATCACAATACATACATACATATATATATACATATATGTTTGTGTACCTAAGTTCTTGTGTAACAAGATTTTGACAAGCTTATCATCCTCTTTAACTCTATTGTTGAACAAAGGAGTACCATTTATTCGGTTATGTTAAGGAGTTTATCAAGTTAAAACATTTCTGCAATTACCTTTTCTTTTACTGCTTTTGAGATTGTAATTACTTTAGGCAATATAATATTGCTCAAAGTTAAATATTGCGTCAAAATGATTGATAACTAAACCTTCAAGATTTAGGTTAACCGTAAATTGGGCTTCTGGGAGCACTAACACGAGCAAAAATTGTTGAAAAGTATAGTATTTGAAAGAGAGTAAAGCGGCCCTCCAATGTTATAATGTAGCTGTTGTATGTTTAGTTCTTGTAGTCTTGTTTTCTTTTTTTTTGGGTTCGACTTTTTAAGAGGATTTCAGTCTTCTAGCTTTCTCTATAGAAAACAGTTGCCTCAAAAGTCCCCTCCCGAGAATTAGGACAAATTAATCATACACATATAGAATATTTAAAGCGACAAGTAATTACGATCTACATGATGGCTCTAACAAATGACTAAAGCTAAAGAACTATTCGTATTACTAAAGTACTCGAAGAATAAGATAACTAAATTGTATTATTAATAGTGTTTACTTAGAGTGCGTTTAGTAGATGAATTCAGAATTATGATTCTGAATCCTAGTTCAGAATCAGTGTTTGTTTACAGTGATTTTAAATCATAATTATGAATCATGATTCAGAATCAATATTTGATTTAGATTATTCGGAATCTGATGTGATGTTTTAAACTAGCTCAAATTATGATTCTAAAACCACCCCCTCTCTTGATTCAAGGTGATTCAAACCACTGATTCTGAATCATGGTTTCAAAATCATGATTTGAACCCAAAATCATGAATCATAGTTCTAGTTCCAGAATCATGATTAGAATCACCCTAATTTGAATCCTCGTACCAAACGACCCCTTAATATTTAGGGGATGTTTGGTTTGAGGATTCAAACCATGATTTGAATCATGGTTCATGGTTTGCTACAGTATTTTCTCTCATAAAAAATACACGTAAATCAAAAATAGTTCTAATCACATTATTCTAATCTATGAACCAAACGTCTCAAATTCATAACTCCCTAAAAGTAACCCAAAAAAAAAAAGTTGGGAAGGACAATGAAAAAGGGAAACAAGATTTAAGAGGTAGGGCTAAGCTTGGGTGTTGAATAACTTATTTTAAAAGAAATATATTAATAGAGACTTTCTCTGGTGTTCCTCATTTTTTAAAAATACAGGTGTTTCTTACTTATCAGTATTAAATTTGATAAAATGTCAAATCAGATTGAAAAAATAATTCATATCTGACGGTTAAGAAGCATAGAACACCGATGTTCCCAAAAAATAAAGAACACCAGAAAAATTTTCATTATTATATGGAACCTTCTCCGGTAGATTAAGTTTTTTGTCCGTTGAATCTGCATAAAATCATGCAAAAGTAAAAAAATATGCAGATTTAACGGTTAAAAAATTTGACCTACTAATATGCGAAGTGTACTAAAAAATCTCTCTTATTATATTGTGTCCAAAAGAAGGTGATACTTTAATGATCCCTCAGCACTTAGCATGGGGTGTCGAACTAAATTATTACTTTCACTTATTTTCCTCTATACTTGTTAAACTAATATTCTTTTTAATGACTAGTATACGATGTTAGATTAACTTAAGATATCATAAATCAAGAAAAGTTCATTTCATTACTTTGCAGCCCCACGTGAGAAATTAGGCTAAAGTGTTAGTTATAGGCTACAATTACAAATTTGTCCGCTCAATTGTCAAATTTGGATGCTTAGCTTATCTCAAGAAGTAACTTGTTATAAGCCTATGAAATAACCAATAAAGCGTTGTTGATGTTAGATTAACTTAAGATATCATAAATCAAGAAAAGTTCATTTCATTACTTTGCAGCCCCACGTGAGAAATTAGGCTAAAGTGTTAGTTATAGGCTACAATTACAAATTTGTCCGCTCAATTGTCAAATTTGGATGCTTAGCTTATCTCAAGAAGTAACTTGTTATAAGCCTATGAAATAACCAATAAAGCGTTGTTGTGTGTCTCCTCCTTTTTTTTTTTTTTTTTTTTTTTTTTTTTTTTTTTTTCTGATATTTGCTTTTGACATTTTAAAAGCTTATCAGACATGTTACTTATTAGTTGTAACTTGTATATATCATGGAAATTTGAAATGTCCTTTTCCCTTTCTGAAATAAACAAAATCAAAGGCAACAAAAATGAAAAAGTTAGATAAGATGTCAAATGCAATTTAGACCAATCATACAAATAGAAATGACATTTCAGCAAAAAATAAATAAAAAATAAAAAATACAAACAAATGTCATGAAAACATTATCGGTTTAAGAAATTGACCCAAGATTTTGGGCAGCAATGCATGAAAGGTGATCACTCACGGCACGTAAAAGCCTTCACCCTTTTGAGAGAGAGAGATGTGGACATGCGCTAAGCTTGGCAGAAAATAAATGACATTTCTCAATCTCTGTTTGATATTTTATTGGTTGGTTCAAGTGCCAAAATTTTCTCAAGACCGACCGTGTCTTACTAATCTTGCACACCTCTCACAATAATAATTAATCCTTATTTCTTAATTGTCAATTGACATGACAAATTCTTTGCTAAATAATACTTTTTTTTAATAATATTATGAATACCAACTTAAATATTAAATTTTGTGTACAAACTCATATTACGTGTGAGTTGTCGTTTTATATTAATAAGTGTTTAAAATATTATCATGTCATTTAATGATATGAGATTGCATCCATTAATAAAAAAATAGTAATTCACACGCTACATTATTGGTGTATAAGAATTGAGATTTGAGTTAGTTTTCTTAGTATTACTTTTTTTTTTTTAAGTTGTTATATAACTATTGTTAAACTAACTGGTATTACCCATAAGACAGTATGAAAATGAATAAGATCTATAGTGAAAGGCCCATTATGAGTAATGAATCATGTTTTCAATTATCTTACAGTTTTTTTAACCTCAAAACTATTGCACTTCATAATCCCATTCATGTTTAATATTATGGAAAACGACAATTATAAGCACTTGAGAGTAGTCGGGACTAAAAAGGAAAAAACAAAAACAACTCTTTATAACATTAGTATAATCCATTGAGAAATATAACTAATCCAACAAATAAATCTTTAGTCCCTTGAAAAAAATAGGAGAATTATATGATTAAGTCTTGCAAAAATAAACTAAATTTAACCATTAATTTTAAATAAAAATTATTTATTACGTATATTTTTATTTTGATCAAATTTAACGGTTAAAAAATAATATCGACAAGAGACAGTACATGAACAATGCCACTTAAAAAAAAAAATTATTTTTAAAAGTGTATGAGTTTAAACTTTTATCTTAAATTATTCATAAATACACTTTTATCAATATAATTATTTAAATAAAAAAATTATAAATAAAAATTAAAAATTAAAAATTCTAACTCGTATATTTTTAAATATATTTGTTAGTATTACCCTAAAAAATAATATACCATCTAGCAATCAATAAAAAATCTTCTTTCCTTTGTTTTTGTTGATGTGATTATCACAATTCACACGTGTTTTATGGTTCTTTTCTTTTATTCCAATAGCCACATATTTTGGATCCCAATTAATGCATCGAACACCCACCAAACGTTCGTACCATTGCTTTGTCAATTTTTTTTGCCCTCTCTGTCTCCTTTCCGCCATTACATTTATAATTATAGGCAAGTTGCAAGTGCAACAATGGCTAAACAAACAAAGGGACTGCAATTTCCACTCGCAACTACCCTTTCAGAAATTTTCACAACTAAATCAGTGAATAACTCAGTTTATGAAGGACTTTTTCAGTTGGACCACAGACTTTGTCATCAAACCTTCAGCCGTTGGGAGCTTTTCCACCAGACGTTTTGCTCTTTTGGTCTGTAATCCCATTACATAAAAGCTTCTTTCTCTCTCTGTTTTTTTTTTTTTTCCCTTCTCACCCCAATATATTTTTCATAGATTTCAATGGGAAAAACGACATTTCTCCAACATCACAACTAATGGTGTCGGTCCACAAACCTAAGTGGGGTCACACACCTTTGTTTGAGTTGTGTAGGTATTTGGCAACATCATTTTCCTTCTGAAAGGGTAGCAAGATAAAAAAATCCAATTATTTGTTGTGGCAAGTAAGGACTCTTGGAAGGTCATAATTGATTTCAGAATTCTTTAGTAGAATATGAAAAAAAAAAAAAAAAAAAAAAAAAAAAAAAAACCCGCAGATTTTTTTTAAATTTTTTTTT